TGTTCAGAGTGACCCAAGTCACTTCCTGTATAACAGGAAGAACTTGGTCTGGAAGCAACGTGGAATGGGGTACAGGCCTGGATTCCAGATCCCTCACTGGCTCAGTCAGTGGATCCTCTCCTGCTCCTGTCTACCCTAGATCTCCCTCTGGGGACTCACCGCGCAGGAAAGCATGTAGAGCCTTTCTCGGTAGACTGGAATAGGTCATAAGATTGAGGGGGGCAGGGGAGTCTCTTCCCCTTCCTAGTTCCCCCACCCCAGCTTGTAACAGCATTCCACCTTCCAGACTCTGCTCCCGAATTTCCACAATGAGGCTTCCTGGGCCAGCTGAAGACCTCACTCATGTCATGGCCAGTTTAGGGATGGCCTCACAGGCCACACTGCCAGGTCCAGCCGTGCTGTGGTCACTGTGCTGTCCAGCTCCACATGCCTCTTGCCCCCACACACTCCAGGCCAAGGAGCTGGCTGCCTTCTGGGGGCTGAGTCACGACATCCCGGCTGCAAACCTCCCCAGCATTCCCGCTGTGCACAGCTGCCTTCCAAGCGGGATCCGAGAGCCACAACACGTCAGCCCTGCTGGTTCTCCCACCCTGTCATACAGATGGGGACACTGAGGCCCAGAGAGGGGCAAGATGTAAGACGGGTGGTGGTGGATCTGGGGTCAGTACCCAGCCTAAGTTTGTGAAGTGTCCCTGAAGTGTCCCTATTGTGGAGGAGAAAGGGCAAAGTAGAAGGTCCCAAAATAAGCCAATGTCCACAGCAAGTGTCCTCTGAGCCTCTGTCACCTGTCTGCCTGGTGGTGCAGGGAGAGAGAGCGAGTGTGTTGAGGAGAGGGAGGGGCAGCAGTCATGGTCTGAATCCTGACGTTGAGCACCTCACACCTGAGTGGGGGTGCAGCAGGGGCTGCCTGCTCAGATGAGCTCAAGCACCTCACTATCTCCTGAGCCCATCCTGCATAGAAACAAACGTGGGTCCTCTCTTGCTTTCACGTTGTAAGTCTCAGTTTCCCCAATTGTACAGTGGGGCTCGTGAAAGGGACTGAATTGGGTAACCAGAGGGCTGTGGAGCTGTGACATTTCAGGACTCTGACACCCTGACCTCATGACCAGGCTGCCGCCTCCTCCTTTCGTGGGCACCCGATTTATTCACAGCACCTCTAGCCCCAGAGTCCCTGCACCAAGCGCTCTCCACTCTATGGCAAGGTTTTTTGGGCTCCACCTCACTGCTGCTTCTGTCCAGCCTGTTCCCTGCACGGCAGGACCCCCCACACTCTAACCCAGCATGACAGCAACTTGGTCCAGTCCTGCTATTTGGCTTCTACATCCTCTTAGAAAATAGCATCCCCAGCAATACACATTCCTGCCCCCCAGCATTCCAAGCCAGAAACAGGGGTGCAGGCTCCTCTGTGAAACTTCCCTCTTCAGCTCCCCCATCTTCAGTCACCAAGTCCTGTTGATTCTCCGCTGTGTTGATTCTCCGCTAAATTAATCTCAAGTCCATCTGTTTCTGACAGTTCCACCTACTGCTCTGTCGAGCTCCACCTAGACAGCAGTGACCAGAGAAGTGGAGCACTGGAGGGGCACAGAGCACGAAGTCACACTGGTTGACCTGTGTCTCTGCTCTATCCTTCCCTGGCTTTGCATTTCTAGACAAGTTTCTGAGATGTTCTGTGCCTCAGTCTCCCCATGTCTAACATGGAAAAGATTGCTGTATACAAGTCAGTCAGTACATGTCAGGTTCTCAGACCTGCACGGTGCATGCATGGCTGGTTTGTCTGTGGATGCATGCAGGTGTGGTCAGGGACATTTGGGGTTCCCTGTGTGCAAGTTCTGTGTGTGTCACATGCCGATGTGCTACACTCCAGTGTTTCTCTGATGGGCGCCTGGGAAAGCACTCAGGCGGCAGTCGGTGCATGTGTGTGTGTGCAAGGCACAGTGGAGCTGTGTGTGTGTGTGTGTGTGTGTGTGTGTGTGTGTGTGTGTAGTGTGGAATACACATGGTTCATGTCTGCATGGGGGCTGGGCACACTCTCAGCCAGCTGCACATGCATGGGTTTCGGGGGAGCGTGTGAGCAGGCGCGTAGGCAGGCGTCTGTGCTGTGTCCATGTGCTCACCGTGTGCAGTCCTCGCCCCTGGCAGTGCTGCTGCCCCCTCCTTTGCCGGCTTGTGTCGTGGGAGCTGCAAGACCCCGAGGGAGGGGAGCTGTTGCTGGCGGATGTGGCTAAGATGGACTGGATTTATTTAGATTAAGGCAGTGGGAAAGGAGTAAAGAGTTGTATATGCTTATTGGAAGGAAGTCTGGGGCTCTGAGAATGACCCTCTAAACATGCTTGCTCCCCTGGAATTGGGACCCTCACTCCATTCCTTGAGGGGACCCTCAGAATCACTGTGACCTGGGCAATGACCCCACCTTTGGAACTCTGGCCCTCCAACCTGGCTGTATAGGAGGAGTCCTGAGGGCTTCTCAGCACACGGTATATCTTCCTGAGCAGAGGGAAGATGCTTGGGGTCCCCCAGGCCACTTCCAGGGGCCTTCCTGGGAGCACAGAAGGGCAAACAGAGACACCATGCTCTCTCAGGTGTCTCTTTCCCGGAGCATGGCTCCTTCCACTCATGAAGGGAATTGTCACAGGAAAATCAACACCCCATGTCAGCTGCCTGGTCCTCCCTGGGGTCTGCTGGAATTGGCTGCCACCAGGAAGTACAAAATGGTCTATAAGGCACCGAGCAGGCATCTGAGTGTGCCAAAGTCATCCAGGTGGCTTAGGAGGCCACTTCTGAGTGCCCTAAGGCCCAGTATGGTACCTTCCAGCCCTTTAGCTTTTTCTATGCCAAATCCTGGGCTTCCACATCTCAAGTTCATTTGTCTAAGTCCTGAATGGATAGAGGTAGAGTGAGAGTACAGCGGGGAAGCATCTTGTCACAGTCCACACAGAATGAATTCTCATGTGACGCTGGGCTTAGAAATACAGCCCCCTCCCTCTGGCCAGCCCCTCCTTTCTCCAGCCATCCTAAGAATAATGACTAGAACTTTTCTCTAGGGGGTTAAAAAGGCAAAACTTGAGAACAGGGACTGCTCTTTGAGATGAGCCCCTCCAAACCTCTGTGTGTGTGGATGGGAAAACACGGTCCCAATGAAGCCTGGAAACCCAGTCTCACAATGGGGTTCAAGGTCCCTGGGAGCTGAAATGCTTAATTCATACAGTCACGCCAGTCCAAGCTCCCTAAGATGTCCCTTCCCAAAGCCTCTGTGCTCTCTCTGATCTCATCTGTCCAGCCTATCCTCTCCCAGCAGCCCAAATTCCCTTTCTCGCTGTGTGACATGGTCATGACTCTGCCTCTCTGGGCCTCTCTGGGCCATTCCCAAAGGGCTCCTCCTGGCCGAGTGTCAGAGGCTGTCAGCCATCCCTAGCCCTGACCTGTAAGGAGAGGACAGAGGAGCGCAGCATTGGAGCAGGGTCGGGGGCTGCATGCCATGAGGTCCCAGCCCACATGGCCAGCCCAGCCTTCAAGAGCCAGGCCAGCCCCCTTGCAGTGACCTCCCATCTCGCTGGCCAAATTCCTCCTTTAGAATAATAAACAGTGCGGCTGGCCAAGGAGGCTGGGAGGGGAGGGGCGGGAAGCTGCAGTGACCCCATCCCCCAGCCTGGGCTGCTAATGATTTTCTTTGGCCCAGTCCTCTGGCAGGAAGGGGGAAACCAGAGGGGCACCCACTGAGGGGCAGATGGGCTGCCCGGGCACTGCTCCATCCTGCCCAAGGATGCTGGGTGTCCAGCAGGAGAGTGGCCCAGAATGCTTGGGAGTAGGGATGCTGTGGAGAGGTGTCAGGAGTACAGGACTTCCGGGGGCACTGGGTTGAGCCGGTGTTCAGTCTATAACCCAGCATCAAACCTGGCTGTGGGAGGTAGCATGCTTGTGAAACATGGAGACTCAGCCACAGAGACAGCCGTGGCACAGGGGTGTTACCTGGTAGAACGGAGAGCAGAAGAGACGGTGCAGAGTGGGGTGCTGAGCTCCCACTCAGGGGACTAAGTCCACACCTGACAGCATAGGAGGCTCCTTGTCACGTGGTCACTTCCCATGTGTTTTGCTCTGTGAGCCTGTCCGCCTTTAAATTCCTTACAGTTGAGGCTGCAGGCAGCCCCTCGGTTTACCTGCCTGGCCTTTGCTGATGACTGGGTACCCAAGGTGTGGCTGCCAAGGCAGGAACAAAGACCCATCCCACTCGGTCTGTCTGCCTCCCTTTCTTGGTGCCCAGGGCACTGCGTGTTCCTGTGCATCTCCTCTCGTGCAGCCTGTCTTTGCCTTTCTCCGCTTCCACTTTCCAACTCTTTTGTCTCTCTCCCACAGGGCCAGCTGTGGAGCCCTGGGCAGGTTCTGTTTCTTCTCAGAACCTCAGTTTCTCCATTCAGACAGTGGGGGTGGTGGTGGAGGCCTCAGTGATCCCTCAGGACCTTGAAAGTCTGCTCAGCTCTCCCATGTGCAGCCCCAGGCCCCTCTCCCCTGGCCTCCTGATGCTGGTGGGGACTGAGTAGAGGGGGCCCAGGCCCCCACATTCCACAGCCTGACTCCCCCGCTTCCCTTCCCACAGCCGCCTCCATTTCCTGTTGTGCTTGTGGAGCTGTGGGAGTTCTCTGGGTTCTGGTTCACCCCTCCTTCTCCTCCAGGCCTTTCATCACACTTTCCCAAATATTTGTCCTGGCAGATAAGAGCCTGGTATTGGAACTGTCACCCGAGGACAGTCTGTCAGAGCTGGCGGTCCCTGGATACTATCCAGCCCAACTTCTCCAGCCCTGCTATACATACAGGGAAACTAAGGTCCAGCAGGGCAAAGGACTCAGCCAAGTCCACATGAGTGTTAGAAATAGAGGGGACAGGGCCCTGTTAGCCTGGGGACGGGTGGCGTTTGGCTTCAGCCCCATAGTCATGGAGGCTAGTGGTCCAGACAAAGCCTTACCTGTGGTATTAAGATGGGTCCTCACCCCTGTTTCGTTCCACAGGCCATCATGCAGCCTCCAGGTGTGATGCCAGCTCCGGTCCTCCAAGGTAGGTAGACTGGGGGCCATGGCAGAGGTCCTGGGGAGCCACGGAACAGGCCCTGGAGCTTGCAGGGGTGATGTACGCTAATACTAGGGTGTGAGTTCATAATCACTGTGGCTCTTCTTGAGACACAGTTTCCTATATCTCAAGAGCATTTCTATGGAGGCCTCCTTCAACTGCACCCCCCCCCCCCCCAGCTTAAAACCCATCCAGAAGCCCTTGCTGAACCTCAGATCCTCTGCCTGGCTCTCCCTCTGCCTCGCACCCTTCTGCAGTCAGCCTATCTGGGATCTCTCCTCAGTCTGATTGATGACATGCCTTCTGCCCTCAAGGGGCTGGGCAGATGCCGGGGTGCGCCAGTGGCCTGCCTAACAAACTTCTGTCCAGTGGACCATGACTGGCTGTCCTGCTGCTTGCACTGGGGGGAGCATAGCTTCTCTTCCTTCCCCAGAGAATATTGTTGGGTGAGGGAAAGACATATCATGCACACATACCTCGACCCCAGTGCCCTCCAGACACAAGGGCCTCACCATCTCTTCTGTCCCAATCTGTCTCCACTCCAAGCTGCCTGAGTCCCCTCCCAAGCAAGGCCACCTCTGGGCTTCACCAGAACGTAGACAGCTGGGGGCAGCTATAGAGAAAAGGCCCAGAAAGTGACCTGGGAAGTAATGCAGGAACTAAAGGCCTGGGAATTATTTCCCAAGGATTTCCTGATCCCTTCCCCTGCCTACTGCCTGAACATAGTGCCATGGAAGAACTAAGACTCAGGAGCTTGAAAGGAATGGAGACAGAGGCCGGGAGTCCCTGGGGGCCTGCAGAGGGCACAAGGGCCCCACAACCACGGGCAGAGGGCTCTAATCTGTTGGGCAGGCATGTGTGTTCTTTGAGGACTTGATGGCTTCAGAGCAGCTTTGGGTAGGGTTTGGGACATCCTGAGGTCTCTGTACCCTGACATGTGACACCTCCTCCCCCAAAGGCCAGTTGCTGTTACTGTCACTGCTGTTGCTGCTGGGACCACAGATCTCCCAAGGCCTGGTCATGGTGCCTGCAGGCCCAGAGCTGGTTCTCAATCTCTCTAGCACCTTTGTTCTGACCTGCTTGGGTTCAGCTCCAGTGCTGTGGGAACGAATGTCCCAGGTACCCCAACAGGAAGTGGTCATGACCCAGGATGGCACCTTCACCAGCAAACTGACACTGACCAACGTCACTGGGGGAGACACAGGAGAATACTTCTGCACCTACAACAGCTCCCTTGAGCTGGAGTCCAGTGAGCGGAGGCGGCTGTACATCTTTGTGCCAGGTGAGAACCTCGGCTTATGCACCCACCCTCCCTCTCCCCTGGCGATGGCTCCAGGGGAAGCTCAGAGGAGCCTTCAGTGACACAACGCAAATGCAGCCAATTCAGAAATGCTCACGAATCATGGAAGCCTGCCCCGCTTAGACCAGGAGTGTGTTCATTCCCACACGTTGGCCTGGATATCTGTGTATTTCCTGCCAGCCAGCCCCATTCCTGCCTCCTGAGAAGTCCGTGTTCTCAGATGGCTCCCATCTGCCGTGTCTGCAGCTTCCCTATTTTTCAGGACTCAGGGACCAATCGCACTTCAGCTTGGGGCCCATCTTCTCACCCTGGGGCTATCAATGCCAGGGTTAGAGCTGAAAGGAGCTCTGAGGTCTGCTTTAGCCCAGGTTTGCTCCTATAACTGAGTATCTGAGACTAATTGATAATGAACAGAACTTCATTGGCTCACAGTTCTGAGGATGCAGAGTCCAAGATCGAGGGGCTGGCAGCTGGTAAGGGTCTTCTTTTTGTATCATCCCATACAAGGGCAAGAAAGTGTAAGAGGTGACATGGCACCAGTGTACCAATCGTGGGGTATTCATGGCCCAATCACCTCTTATGGCTATTACAAAGATAGCTACATGCCAATGAGTGTTGGAGATAACCAGTACTCAAACCATAGCAGCAGCTTTTTTCTGGATTGAGGAGACTGAGGGCCACCGAGGGGAAGAGACTTGCTCACAGTCACACGGAGTCCACCGGCTGGCCAGAAACCCAGTTCTCCTGATCCTCATCCTTGCCTCCTCTTCCGGCAGATCCCAGTATGGGCTTCCTCCCCATAGACCCTGAGGATGTATTTGTCTTTGTCACGGAAATCACTGAGACCACCATCCCATGCCGAGTCACAGACCCCCGGCTGGTGGTGACGCTGCACGAGAAGAAAGAGGATGTTCCTCTGCCTATCCCCTATGATCACCAACGAGGTTTCATTGGTACTTTTGAGGACAAGACCTACATTTGCAAAACCACCATTGGGGACAGGGAAGTGGAATCCGATGCCTACTATGTCTACAGCCTACAGGGTAAGCCCCGATCTTGCCCATGCTTAGCAGGGGCAAGTATCTTGCCCAATGCTTAGCAGCATCGGGCACCTACAGTGAGAGTTGGAGAGGCCCTTTGCATCAGCAACCGCACCCTTAGTGACACCAGTGTCGGCGAGATAGCCCTGGCCACATGCAATGTGTCCGAGACCTGGTAAGATGCTTAGCAGGGGCAAGCATCTTGCCCGATGCTTAGCAGAGGAGCAGCCCTTACAGTTTACCAAGTAGGTAACTCATTGGTCTTTGGATTCATACACTGTAGACTTAGAAGGTCATTTCCCCCCCTACTTGACGAATGAAGGAACTGCGGTTCAGAGAGAGGATAGTGTTTGCTCGGTTATAGAATCCACTAGTGGCAGAGCTGGGCTGCTTAACATGGTAGGCAAAGGCACAGGTTCTCAAACCAGATGGCTTTGAATTTCAACTCAGCCACTTCCATCGTAATAATTATGCTCAAAGCATACCAACCCTTTGAGCCCGTGTCTCCCTCTATAAAATGAGGATGACAATAGCTGCCTATCTGGTAGGTTTATTGTGAAGATTAAATGAAACAAGAGCTCAGTGAATTTTTCCCTTAGATCCCCAGAGGACACTTTTACTTCTAGACTGTTAACCTCTTCTGGAGCATTAGCTGCATGGGGACAGAGTTTTGTCCACCCTATTCTCTGCAATAGCCCTGGTACCTGGACTAGTAACTGGCAGAGAGTAGGTACTCAATAAATACTTGTTGAATGGTTGAATCTTTCACACCAGTCAACCCTTCCCTCCATGGCCCCTTCCTCCATCCCTAAGCAGAAGTGCTGGTGGCTGGTGATCTCCCCCATCTCAAGCCACTCTCTCTCCTCCAGTGTCATCCATCAATGTCTCTGTGAATGCAGTGCAGACTGTGGTACGCCAGGGTGAGAACATCACCATCATGTGCATCGTGACGGGGAATGAGGTGGTCAACTTTGAGTGGATGTACCCCCGAAAGGAGGTAACGCTGGGCCGGGGGCTGGAGGGGGCCAGGCAGGGATGGATACTGCAGTCTGCAGTCTGACTTCTCATGGACCCCTCCTGATGTGGGGAACCTGCTCACCTATCCCTGCAGAGTGGGCGGCAGGTAGAGGCAGTGACGGACTTCCTCCCTGACATGCCAAACCACATTCGCTCCATCCTGCACATCCACGACGCTGAGCTGGGTGACTCAGGGACCTACATTTGCAATGTGTCAGAGAGTGTGAACGAGCACCGAGACGAGAAGGCCATCAACGTCACTGTGGTCGGTGGGTGCCTTGGACTCAGCCCCCAATCCAGTCTGGGCTGGACTCAGACCCTCGTACAGCCCGGGGTGTAGGCAGCCACTTTTAGCTCCACGCTAAACTCTGTGCCAGCCAAGGCCCCCACTCTGGCTTAACCCAAACCAAAGTGCAGCGTCAGCCCGACTCAGCCTTAACTCAACCTGGACTTTCTGGTTGGAATCCTAGTTCCAACCCGATACCTAAACCCAGCCCCACTCCTGCCCTAGGCAGCCCTATCTCCAAATTCAAGCTCAGTACTGCTTGAGGCTTCTGTGCTCCTCACCTACAATACTGAACCAGACCAGAGGACTACGTGTCCCACCTCAAAATCAGCCCCACCTCCAAACTTGGCCCCTGCTCTTGTGACAGCCCCAACTTTAACCCCAATTCCAAGGCCCAATGGGTTCCTAAAGCTTGAACCATTCGTTGGTGCCCTGTCTCAGAAGCTCCGCCTCCTGGGGGGATGCTGGGCTTGCCCAGCCCCCAGGACCTGCCCCTGACAGGTTTACCTTGCAGAGAGAGGCTATGTGAGGCTGCTGCAAGGGCTGGACACTGTGGAAATCGCTGAGCTGCACCAGAGCCGGACACTGCAGGTGCTGATCGAAGCTTACCCTCCGCCCACTGTCCTGTGGTTCAAAGACAACCGCACCCTTGGTGACACCAGTGTCGGCGAGATAGCCCTGGCCACACGCAATGTGTCCGAGACCCGGTAAGCAGCTGCTAGCTCACTCCATTTTGGAAACTTTGCAGCTGCCTGGCAGAGCAGGGCCTTCAAATACCCAGTAAGCCTTGATTGGCCTATCAGGAGAGCCTACTGCATGCAAAGCACCGTGGCAGGTGTTAGCATTGCTGCAGGGACAGTTCCAGCCCTCTCCATGTTTCTGCCTTAGTTGGCGAAACAGACACTGGTTAGGTGATCACTCAAATATTTAGCATCTTCATGATGAGTGAGGTCAGCAGTTGGCAGCCAAAATTAAAAGGTGGATAATAGGGAGACAAGGTGCCAGGAGGGCCACTCAGTGCCATCTGTAACATTCCTGAGTGTGGATATTAGCAGGCCAACAGTGACTATAATGTGTTAGGATAAAGGAAATGAGATGGGGTGGGGATAGGTTTTGTGCTCTTAGCTACTGTCCCCCCACCCCAGCTTTCCTGTTGGCTTAGGGGCACCGCCTATGGGTGGGGACTCAGGAGACAGATTCGAGTCCTGGCTTTGCTGCTGACATGCATGTGACCCAGGCAGGCCCCATGCATCCGTAGGCCCGTTTTTCCTGTCTGCACAAGGGAGTTTGGGAGAGCTGTAAGACTGATCAGTGGGTCTCATGGCCTGCCCTGCCCCCAGGTATGTGTCGGAGCTGACACTGGTGCGGGTGAAGGTGGCAGAGGCTGGCAGTTACACCATGCGGGCCTTCCATGAGGATGACGAGGACCAGCTGTCTTTCCGGCTGCAGGTCAATGGTGAGGGTCACCTCCTTGCCCTCTTTCATTCTTGTCCTCCTTGCCCTATTCCTTCTCCTGCTTTGCCCACCCACCCACAGGAGGAACTGATGAAAAGGGACCCTGAAACTAAGGGGGTTGGGGTGGAGGCCACTGACCTGTTGTGTCTCTTCTCTCAGCCTCAGTTTCCCTAGATGTTAAAGGAGGCCATGAGGCTAGACAGGTATTTCCAAAAACCTTGGGCATTTATGTACTGATACCATGATTTTTCCTTTTCACATAACATTACTGAGCTGTGATTAAAAAAGAATACAATGAATGTCGAACCTTTTCAAGTAATTTGTTGTGGTAAAAGACATTGCCATTCACACCCCTCGAAATCCGCCCCCCCTTTAAACACACTTAGCCCGTAGTTCTTGTCACTGTCTGACGCAGCTCTGGAAGTTCTCTTTCATTAGTATTTTTAACTGCGCAGTCATGGCTGCCTCAACGTTCCAAACTGATTCCAAATGTTTTTTTTTTTTTGTCTTTTTCCTGTTTATCGGTACCGGGGATTGAACTCACGACTGCCTGCTTGCAAGGCAGGCGCTTATGCCGCTGAACTAAAACCCCAGCCCCTAGATTCCAAATGTTTACCTTTCATGGTTGTTTTCACTTCAGCAAAGAGCCAGAAGTTGCACAGTGGCAGCTCCAGTGAATAAGTAAATGAGGACTCACCCTTCTGTTTGTACAAATCTGCCTTTCTGTAGGATGGCACTTGGCCGCAGCAAGTCCCTTTACTTTTTTTTTAATCACATACCTTAAAGACACTCAGGAAAGAGCATTTCCGGAACTGCTTTAGAAAGTGGCACAGACAATGTGTTTGAGTGAGGGGAAGTGTTTTGAGGGAGATTAATGGCAGGATGTCTTTTACTATGATAACTTTTTTTAAACACACTGTATTTTCAATCAGCCCTTGTCTACTGTACCATTACTTCAACAGATATTTATTGAGCAATCACAATACATCAGGATTTTCAGAGTTCTCGAGGCTCTGGCTTTGTGCAGCTTGAGCAGTCATGGTGGGGGAGACAAATGTTAATCAGTAGGAGAGGAAACCTCAGGGAATGATACAGATTATGTGATGACAGTTACTACAGGGTGGGGATTGGCACAGGGCAGGGAGGATTAAGAGTGATGGGCACAAGGAGTACTGATGATTGTTCTTTTAAACATGGTCAATAGGGTTGGCCTTACTGAGGCTTTGACATCTGCATGAGTGCTTGAGGAAGATGAGGGCGCTGAGTTAGGGGCCGAGAAGAGTTTATTCCAGGCATTGCAAGTGCCAGAGCAACGGCTTAAAGGCCTGTGCGGAAGGCTGGAGTGGGCTGGGAGGGCAGACAGATAGACGCTTTTGCAGGCAGTGTAGTACAGCTTTTGTTCTATCCTGTGGCCCAAGGGACTGGAGCATAGGAATGACAACATAATGGCTTAGTGTTTTGTCAATCAGCTTTCTAAAAATAAATTTATTTTGAAAGACAAAATTTAACCTCTCAACATAGATGGAAACTCAGCATGATGTGTCATAAATATAAAGCAACCACTAAAATAGACTCAGAGAAGACAAAACAGTGCCATTAAATGTTAGTTTCAGAAGCCCTGCTGCCCAGAGCTCTGAGCTTCAGGCCTGTTCTCTTTGTTAGAAGGGAAGATTACCAAGTCTCAGAGAGGTGCTAAAGACAGACTGGCACCCTCCTGAGGCTTTCCCTTTGAAGTACTCCAAAGGGAATCCATCAGCTCTTACCCTGATTCCTGGTATTTACTGTTCACCTGCAGTCTGCATCCCCTCCTCCCCCCAGGAGGGGACCAGGGTTGGGTGCTCTCAAAGGATGACCAATGACTATCTTGACCTCCCCGTTTCCTGACCCTGTACCTCTCTATACAGTCCCTGTCCGTGTGCTGGAGCTGAGCGAGAGCCACCCTGCCAATGGGGACCAGACAGTCCGCTGTCGCGGCCGAGGCATGCCCCAGCCACATGTCAGCTGGTTTCTCTGCAGAGACCTCAAAAGGTGAGCAACCCTTGCTCCTCAGTCTCCCAGGGTACCCACTGCTGGCTACAAGAACCCAGGACGTTTATCTAGCCCAGTCCCCTCCCCGGAACACCTTGCTCCAGGCTAGAGCCAAATCCTAAAGACCAGACCGCCCTTTCCTTGGAGATTGTTTGCCCGACCTAAATTGTTCCTTACCTTGATTCCTGAGCTATCTTTGGCCTAGCACAGTGCGGAATGGAGAGACCTTATCTACCCAGATGTTTTGTGCTCCTGACCATGGTTGTCTGTGGCAGACCATGGTGTAATAGTGGCAGAGATGAGGTCAGACCTTGAGATTTAGGGAGTCAAAATGAGACAGTGAATTTTGCGATCCAAAATTCTCTAGTCTGGAGCGGGAGAGCCCTCTGCTGGTCAATTTAGGGCGCACAGGAGGAACCCGCTTGCTTGGAGGTTGCAGGGACCAGCCCTACACTACTTCCCTCCCCAACCACCACTCGGTGGCGCTGCCAGCTCCTGGCCTTCGTTTCCCCATCTGCAGAAGGAAGAGGCTGCAAGCCATCTCTCTAACTCTCCTGGCAGGTGTCCGCACGAGCTGTTGCCCACGCCTCTGGGGAACAGTTCTGAAGAGGAGAGCCAGCTGGAGACCAACGTGACATACTGGGCTGAGGAGCAGGAGTACGAGGTGGCGAGCACGTTGCGCCTGCGCCATGTGGATCAGCAGCTGTCGGTGCTCTGCATGGTGCACAACCTGCTGGGCCAGGACGTGCAGGAGGTCACCGTGGTGCCACACTGTGAGTTCCCCAGCCCGGCAGCCCTGATGACCTCTTGCCCTCGCCTTGCCATCCTGGGGATTGAGCCTGTGCACATACAGTGGGCCAAGTCACCATACCCAAGGGTACTGGGGAGCATGTGACCCACTGGAGTGTGTTGTTCTCTAACATACACAACACGAGGGGTGTGTGGGCGTGGACATGAGCAGCAGTGTGTGCTTGTGTGCAGTGAATATAAACAGTATACATGTTGTGTGTTGTAAACGCTGAACACTGGCAGGTGTGAAGCCTCTGTGTATAGATTTGTAAACAGTGTGCTGAAGAATGCCTAAAGCCCAAACACAGGAGTAGAGCTTCCATGTATGTCGGTGAGCAGGTACTCAAGCACGTTCGATGCCTGGCCATGTGTGTGACCCCCCAGACTATATGTTTGCAGGCCATGCCCATGAGCATACCTAATCCTTAGACTTGTGTGTCAACCTACAGAATGTGTATTTGCATACGTGTGCATGTCAGTGCACAGTTCCTCTTCATGTATATACTGCATGTCTGTGAGTGTGTGATTGCAGCACAGGTTCTGTATCAGGCACACCCCTGAACACTTACGCGTGCTGTGCAATGCATAGCTTTCAATAGGCAGACATACACATTCAGCGCTCACACATGTGAAAATGCCTGCCAATGTCAGGTGCGTTTGCATGTCTGCTTACCCATCCCTGTGTATGCTTGTGTCTTTACACACGTACCTTGTTTATTCACCTGTTTCTTGTTCAGTAAATAGTTACAGGGAACCAACTTCTCACTGAGGCACAGAGGCCAATGGGTCTCATCTCACCTGCTCTCCTGGCGCCTGTGGTCCAGAAAGAAGAGAAATTAGACCTGAGTCAGGATCACCCTGCTGAGGGGATTGCCCAGAGAGAGCAGGATCCCAGGCCTAGCTGTAGGATTGAGGAAAGTGTCCTGCAAAAGGGGACCATTAAGTCAGAACTTGAATGGTGACTAAAAGTTAGCCTGGTGAGGAATGGTGGTCTACTCGGAGAGAATGGCCTGGGCAAAAACCCAGAGGCAAAGTGAAATGGGAGGAATTCAGGATTGTAGAATTTGTGCGGCATCTACAGCAATACCACCCTGAAAGCGCCCGATCTCGTCTGATCTTGGAAGCTAAGCAGGGTTGGGCCTCGTTAGTACTTGGATGGGAGACTTTGTGTGGATTCAGGGATTTGGATGGGTGAGAGAAAAAGGACGAAAGTGGCAGGAATGGGCTGAGTTCCAAAGGCCCTGTGAGGTGCTCTGTGCATGCTCCTGTGAGCTCCCAGGCAGATCTGTGAACTCAGCACACACACTTGCCTCCTGCCCTCACCCTGCGGAGGAGGAGCTTTCAGGATGCCTCTATCCCCTGCCCGCTCACGCACACAGCTCCCTGTAGCAGTGGGCCTCTCAGTGGATGGAGCCGCTGGCCTGATGTGCAGATCCACTCTGAGCAGAGGCAGGAACAAAGCTGCCATGTGGCGCCTGAGGGGCTGCCATGCACCAGTGCGTGGGACACACAGGGCGGGGTGAGGACTCCCCAGAGGATGCAGGCTTCCTTCCCAGGACTTTGATGTGTCATTGCTGGGGAGAAAGAACAGGAGTGATGGCAATCTGTGGCCCTGAATGGGGTATGGGGTGAGACTGGACAGGACTCCCTGGGAAGCCAAACAGGACAGAAGGGACAGAGGAGGCGGAAATGAATTCCCAGGGGACCACACAGCTAGCCTGTGGTGCAGAGCAGGGGAGACAGGGGTCAGCCAGGGATTGCTGGGAAGTGAGCGGGCTGCAAAGAGGCATCGGAGCCAGAGGGCCAGGGGGTGACACGTGAGTACTAGGTGCATACCCCAGTGTGATGGGGACTGCACTTAATAACTACCTCCACTACCCCACCCCAGCTGTGCCTGGGCGGAGCCCAAGAGGAACAGGCTCGTTTTTGAGTTTGGATTCATCAGACCATGGGAGCTTGGTGCATGGCTCCCTCAGTGGTCAGTGACTTGGCCCGTTGGCTAGTTGGCCAGAGCATTGGAACCCAGAGCTTTGACGTAGGTGTGACAGCCCCGATGAGGGCATGGGCTCAGAGGAGATATGTGCTCAGCTTGGCCTTCAGGGACTCCTGGTCTTATGCGAGGCCCAGGCCAGGAACTCAGAGCAAAACTACACCCAACTATTTCAGACAGGCCAACCTGACTCTGGCAAGGCTTCAGGCATGTGGAAGCCAGCAGCAGTCTGAGCTGGGGGTGGCTCCTCAAAGCACATGAATTTACAAGAGAGGCCAAAGGCATGGCCATTGCAAGAGGTCGAGGGTCTCCCATTGATTGCTGTTGGAAAGGCAGGGGCTTCCCTCTGGGCAGGACGGGTACAGAGGGATTTGCAAAGCCCCCAGTGAGGAGGAGGAAAGCAGCTGCCCCGTGTGCTCACATCTGCTCTGGTCTCTGTCTCCAGCCCTGCCCTTCAAGGTGGTAGTGATCTCAGCCATCCTGGCCTTGGTGGTTCTCACCATTGTCTCTCTCATCATCCTCATCATACTTTGGCAGAAGGTAAGTCCCCCCTGCTCTAGCAGGTCAGATCAGTGCACCATTTGCTTGCACGGACCCTCTGGCCCCATAGATGCTACATGATCTGGCCATGTAAGATCTGGCCCTGCATGGAGCTGAGATGGAAATTTAGGTAGCGTGACACTGGGCCACTAACCTGGCTCCATGCTCAGCAACCTGTGCTGACACAGGCCTGCTGTGCCCCTGGACACCCTGGCCTGCTCATCCCAGGCACAGGTTGGGACAGACTGTATAGAATCCAGGGTTTTTCCAGCTCTCACCACAGAGGCTCCTGAGTCTCCGGAAATACATTCTGACCCTATTAGTTTGTAATAGCCATGTTCTGTTTTGCGATTTTGCCATTCTATGATTCCAGCATTTTAAAATTCCTTAAATAGGTCTCCACTATCCTCATGAGTCTCCCATTTTTAGATTCCAATCCTGTGATTTCAACATCCTAAAATTTCAACATCCAAGGTTACGTGCTTCTGAGATTCCCATGGTTACTGACACATGGTGTGGGGAGGGGCCAACATCACTGAACAGAGTGTCCCCATCTCCTGTCACTTTCCAGGGCTTTCTGTTCCTCTCCTTCCACCCGAGGAGCAGCTGAAGCTCTGAGTAAAGCTGGAGAGGATGGTCCCATGGCCATCAGCCGCTCCTCGGCCTGCTAGGTCTGTCTAGCTCCTTTACCACCTTCTCCTCTAACTGGAGCTTCTTGGTGCTTTTCCCTCTGAGCCCATGAAGGCCTTGGCTCAGTTGGCCACTTGCTTTGTGACTTCAGATAGGTCCCTGCCCCTCTCTGGGTCTCCAGATCCCCCGGCCCATCTGTGCTATAAGAGGCCGGAAGTAGTGGGCTCGAGGCCAGACAGCCCCAGTGCTGATCTCACTGTCTTGGTCCTGCAGAAACCACGCTATGAGATCCGGTGGAAGGTGATTGAGTCTGTGAGCTCCGACGGCCATGAGTACATCTATGTGGACCCCATGCAGCTTCCCTATGACTCCACGTGGGAGCTGCCAAGGGACCAGCTTGTGCTTGGTCAGCCCTCACTCAGGAATTTGGAAACTTAAGGCCGTGGGGAGACTTCCAGGGTCTGGCCCCAGGTTGGCCATGACGAGCTGTGGGATCTCAGGCTGGCATGTTACCTCCTCTGACCCTCAGTCCCCCTCTCTGTGCCAGAGGGCCAGGGACTGCCTACCATTGGGTCTGGTAACCCTGAGGCTGTAAGATAGGACCTCCTTGTGTTGACAGACTCGGTACTGAGGAGTGCCAGCCTGCGCTTAGTCCCGCTGGGGAGGCAGAGAGGGTGCGGAGGAGTTGTGCTCCCCTGGGGAGGGAGGAGGACTTCGGGGACTCAAAATAGAGATACAGGCAGACCCTGGGTGAGCCTCCAGGAAGGGCTGAGAAGCCTTACAGTTGCTGGGACCCCCACGTAGGGAACACATGAAGAACAGGGTGGTTTGAGGGATAGGGAGGTTGCCCTAAAACGGTGGCTCTTCCCAGCCCTGGATTGGAAAGATGGGGTGCAGCACTTTGGTGGGCCAGGAACTGAGAGATTGTCTCCATCCCAGGACGCACCCTCGGCTCCGGGGCCTTCGGGCAGGTGGTGGAGGCCACAGCTCACGGGCTGGGTCACTCACAGGCCACCATGAAAGTGGCTGTCAAGATGCTGAAATGTGAGTTCTGGGCTGCACCTGTCCCCACTCACCCCTGCACATACAGCCTGCTTCTGATGCACTGAACACCAGAGAGGCAGCTGGTTCGGAGAGGGGCTCTTCCGCTCGGCCACCTCGCCTTGTGCCCAGCCTCTTTCGCTCCCCACAGTGTGGGTCCTCACTGCCCTCGGCTGGAGAGAGGAGCTAGACAGGCTCAGGCGGGGCTGCGCCAGTGACAGCCCTGGCCTGAGCCCCTTTTTCCCTCAGCCACGGCCCGTAGCAGTGAGAAGCAAGCCCTCATGTCAGAGCTGAAGATCATGAGTCACCTAGGGCCCCACCTGAACGTGGTCAACCTGCTGGGGGCCTGCACCAAAGGAGGTATGTGACCGTCTCCGAGGGCTCCAGGAAGGTGCTCGGCTGTAAGGCTGTCCTCTCCTGTCCCTGTCTCAGTCCAGGATGGGGGACAGCCCAGCTGGAAGGCTCACACCCCTTCTGCCCAGCGCCCTCACTTGGTAGTTCCAGAGGGGTGTGAGCCTTAGAAACTTAGAAACCATCATGGCTGGAGGACTTCAGGCCAGCAGTCCCAGGGGGTTCCGAATCAGTGTTTTCAGGCCTTCTTTCAATTGTCACGGCATACTTTGAAAACTGTAATGGGCAACACTTAACACGACACCGAGGAGTCACGTACCCCTCTTAGAGACCCCCAAGGTGGTACCTGGGAGACGCTCGTGTTCTGATCACAAACTTGTTTCGGTCACTTGTGTTTATATGAACTGACCTCCACTTGCATGTTGGGCTGAAAAAAAAACCATGTAGTTGCCCTTTGCAGCTGCTTATTGTGATATTTGGGATTTTCCTCAGCATTGTGCAACCAAATCAAAATACAGAAGTACACTGCACTCGTAGGCCAGTTCACATCTGCAATCGTCACCCATTTCACAAGTCTTGTTTTCACCAGTTTCTTCAAGCTCCCGCCAGTGGACTTGAAGTAAACGCACTGAGTTTGAGTGAAACCAGTGACTGAAAACAATAGTTACCTCGCATGCTTCGACACAAGCGTTAGTTTGAAAACTCATCCCTAACGGATAACAATGTTTGCTACATGCCATGTGGACAAAAGCAGCATTTGAAAAGACAGCATTTGACTGTCCTCCCGAAAGTCCTCCACGTTACTAGCCCACTTTACAGATGGGGAAAGGAGGGCCCCGGGCCACTAAGTACCATGCTCGTAGTCAGGCAGGAGAGAACGCAGGTAGCAGGGTGCTCTTAGCTGTCACTGCCGACCACCTCTCCCACACCCAGCTTGCTTATGTGGGAAGCCTGGGCCTCTCTCTCCGCAGGACCCATCTACATCATCACTGAGTACTGCCGCTACGGCGACCTGGTGGACTACCTGCACCGCAACAAGCACACCTTCCTGCAGCACCACTCGGACAAGCACCGCCCTCCCAGCATCGAGCTCTATAGCAACACCTTACCTGTGGGGCTGCCCTTGCCCAGGTACCGAGGCTCGGCGGCACCTGCAGGGCACCTGTGCCCTCCTTCCTTGTCAACAGAGGAAGTAGGGGGTGTTAAGGATGGAGCGGAGGCTCTCTGGAGCCAGAGCCGTTTCCCAAGCCTGTCCCTCCTGGGCTGGGCAACAATAACCATGGTGGCAGTGGGATCCAGTGTGCCAGGCCCCGCACTGAGCCCTCTACAGGTGCTGACTCTCTTGAACTGCACACTGCCCCTGTGTTTGGGTCTGGCTCTCCTGACCCAGAGATACCATGGGCAGAGGCTGCAGGGAGGGGATGGGCTGTCCAACAGGCGCTGCCGCACGGCCGCCTGCTCTCCCTGCTCCCCCTGCAGCCTCCTCAGCCCAATTCCTGATTGCGTCTTTTCCAAAAACAAAATTTCTAAGTCCTTTTTGCTGACTATAAAAGCGAACACAAGAATGACTTTGGAAAAGCCCACAAAAGACATTAAAACTCAGGCCTGCCCTTCCCAACATTCCGACAGCATCCTTGGTTCTTCCTACCTGTGGAGACACTGGTGTATAGTCCCAAGTCCCCTCAGGGAGCTAATGCCTGGGCAGAGCTGTGGCTGGCACGTGTGGGGTGCCTTGTTGGGATGCTGGAGAGGCCCCAGAAAGACGCCTCTCACTTGCCCACCTTGTGACTTTTCCCAGGCATTGAAAGCACCTCAGGGCGTGAGCCCTCTGAGGACACTTATGGGACTTGTGTCACCTTGGCAGTCCCAGTCCTTAGCACAGGGCCATATGGTTTAGCTGGAAGGGCTCCATCTGTGGTCATTCACATAATGACGGAGAATGATGCATGAGTGACAGACAGCCTCGTGGGCCCCTAGCGTGAGCAGGGGGCAGCGGGGAAGGGGAGAGGAAGCCCGTGGCCTGCCCTTTACGTTCCTCTTACCCCCAGCCCCGTGTCCCTGAGTGGGGAGAGTGACGGTGGCTACATGGACATGAGCAAGGATGAGTCAGTGGACTACGTGCCCATGCTGGACATGAAGGGAGACATCAAATACGCAGACATCGAGTCCTCCAACTACATGGCCCCGTACGATAACTACGTCCCCTCCGGTGGGTGGACACAGCGCCCTCACTCCCGCAGACTCACACCTGCATGGATGTGTTCCTCCCAAAGCCCTTCACACGCCCCGCCTTGCAGCAACCCTGGGAGGAAGGTGGCCTTGTGCCTGTGTCATGGGTGGGGAAATAAGCTGGCCACCTGTCCAGAGCTGCTGCAGAGTAGAACCATAACGTGGACCCTTGTTTGTGCATCCAGAGGCCAGGGTGGGGTCTGCAGGGAGGGGGACAGTTGGGGTAGGCTGTGGGGGAAATATCTGACTGCCTGGGGTATGGAAGGAAAAATCTATCAGCTCCAAACTGGCCCAAGGCCAGTCCAGTGCCTCTGAGAAACAAATGGGCAAAGCTAAGATGCTGGCCCCAGCTCAGGCAGAAGCTTGCAGGGAAGTCAGTAGTCATGTGTCTTGGACATTCAGCCTCTCACAAACCAAAAGACTGGGGTCCTTTGTACCACACAGGTGGCAGATGGCATGTGACCCTCTGCTTTTTCCTAGCCCCTGAGAGGACCTACCGGGCAACTCTGATCAATGAGTCCCCCGTGCTCAGCTACACAGACCTCGTGGGCTTCAGCTACCAGGTGGCAAATGGCATGGAGTTCTTGGCCTCCAAGAATGTACGTGTGGTCACAGTGGGGCAGAATGGGGCTGGATGGGCGGGACAGCGAGTACCCTCACACCTGGGCACATGACAGTTTCCCCGAGGGTTCAGTTTCTTCTGGTCTCTCCCAACCCAGTGTGTCCACCGAGACCTGGCAGCCAGGAACGTGCTCATCTGCGAAGGCAAGCTAGTCAAGATCTGTGACTTCGGCCTGGCTCGAGACATCATGCGAGACTCGAACTACATCTCTAAAGGCAGCGTGAGTGTCTTCTGTGGCCCCACGGGGCTGGCACCGTGTGCCTCTGACTCCAGGAGCAGGTTCCTTCCTGATTGGCACAGCTGAGGTTCATTGGAGATCCGCCTTGGGCTCCTCTTGGCTTGTCCCGCCCAGGAGACATGGTCACTACCTGCCCAGCTGTGTGTCCAAGGCAGGACAGGCAAAGACACTCAGGTTTACTGGTTCCAGTGGGGTGAGGGACCAGATTCAGTGGGCCTAGGGATGGGTGGGAAGGGGCTCAGGACACATCTGTTATCCCAGGTTGCAGAGCAGAGAAAGATGCCCCAGTGACACAGGAAGACAGATGAGCTGTTCTTAGGCAGTGGCCGGGGTTGGTGGTTAAATGTGACCATCTGCCTCCCACTCCTCTCCCCTCCTCCTCCTCGTAGACAACCCAGAAGTGGAGGGGTCTAGACAACTCTAAACCCCTGGGGACCAAAGGCAGCCAGGAGAGCGGGGCAGTGTCTTGTCCCTGGGTCCCCATGCCTCTGCTCAGGCCGTGTGGCTTTTCTTGGAGACAGAGGCCTGGCAGTGAGGAAGAGGCATCCTGGTGCTCTGACAGGAGTGGTGTGGATGCAGGAGCTGTATGCAAGAGACCATGGGAATGGGAGAGAGGAGAGCCACGGTGGGCGCTGCCAGGCCTCCTCCTGCCATCCGGGGCAGAGTGGGGCTGCACACTCAGTGCCCATGCTGTCCCTGCAGACCTTCCTGCCCCTGAAGTGGATGGCCCCGGAGAGCATCTTCAACAGCCTTTACACCACTTTGAGCGACGTGTGGTCCTTTGGGATCCTCCTCTGGGAGATCTTCACCTTGGGTGTGTGCTTCCTCCCCGGTCCTCCGCACATGGCATGGCATCTGCCTCCCACTCTTGCCTCTTGCCTGGCAGGGCTGTGGGGCTGGCACTGGGACATGGGGCAGGGCCACCAGGTCTTGTCCCTGCTCTGCTACTTTCTGCCTGTGTAACTTTGCAAGCCCTGGTCCTCTCTGGTCTGGCCTGCTTGGCTCTGGTGTCTATTATGGGGGATGATGCTGTCTCTGTCCAGTGCCCAGGAAGAAGCTCACGTTTCCCAGTGCCACGACACCATACCCGCCCCCAACCCAAGACCATATGCTTCCCCCATCCTGGAGAAGAGGGCTTGTCTACCTCTTTTCCTTGACTCTGAACCTATATTCCTTGTCTCTGCCTCCCAACAGGTGGCACCCCTTACCCAGAGCTGCCCATGAATGAGCAGTTCTACAATGCCATCAAGCGGGGCTACCGCATGGCGCAGCCCGCTCATGCCTCCGATGAGATGTGAGTGGAATCTGGTGCACTAGGGAGGATGCTGCGGGTGCAGGTCTCAGATATGCAGTGCTACGGGTTTACCCCGAGAGAGCCCGATTAGCTCTAGGTGTTCAGATGGTTCCATCACACCCGTGTGCATGCCCTGGGCTTTTGCTTTGCCCTTTTCAAGCCAGTGCTGCCCACGTGGCTGCCAACAGTGCCAGTTTGACATCTCACTGCTTTTGGCCAAAGCCCCAGAGTTGAACTTCCAGAGCTGTAGGGGTCCCAGGCCGTCAGAACTGGCCACTGAGTTGAGGGTGAAGCAGGGGTGAAAACTCGTATTGACCAAGTCTGAGTCATGTTCTCACCAATGCAGTGGGTGCCGGGAGGGCTTCCTAGGGGACAACAAGGGGCGATGATGTGAAAACAACACCCCCGCCACCCTTCCCCGACGCCTTTCCCTAGCTTACCTTGTTCTGAGGGGCAGTGACCTCCAGGTCCCCCAACACCCCGGTCACCCTGGCATCCCGAGCCAGGCATCCTGACCCGCTCCTCCCCTCCCCAGCTATGAGATCATGCAGAAGTGCTGGGAAGAGAAGTTTGAGATCCGGCCTCCCTTCTCCCAGCTGGTGCTGCTTCTGGAGAGACTGCTGGGTGAGGGGTACAAAAAGGTAAGTTGAGGCAGGACGGGAGCAGAGAGTTCTGGTACAGAAGCCACTCTCTTGGTGCCAGGCTGTGTGTGATATGCTGGTATTTGAAGGAAGTACTACTCGCCCACTCTGAGCTTCCGTTTCACTCCTAGTGTCGGGAAGAGATGGATGGAGCTCTGAGTTTGATTTACTTTAACAGCACAGAGACCTGGAGGCTGCCTGAGTTCACACAGAAAGCAGGCACCACAGCCCTGTCGGTCCTCAGACCTGGGGGCCTTGTTAGTTCCTTAGGGTTCTTTTGAGGGTGTGAAGAACCCCAACTTGTGTGACCTCTGATGCCCGACACAAACCCTGCACAGTCCATCCATGGCCAGCGGGGTCCATTGAGCTCTAAACCCTGTCCTGTGGGTGGCATCTGGTAGGGGGAGGAGGTGCCCATCTCCTCTGGCACAGACATGGCCAGTCTTTAGCTTCATTTCTCCACTCTCCACCAAGGATGGTCCTTGGAGAGTGAGGTGAAGAGAAGTCACCCCCCTTCATAGCAAGGGACCCTGAGGCCCCGTGGGAGGAGGCCGAGGCAGGGTGAGAGCTGGTGCCCACCTACTCTGAAATCAGAGAAGAGGCTGGGCTTAGATTAGAGCACTAATCCAGCATGGGTCCTGGATCTAATCCCTAGCACTGCAAAAATAAAGTGAAGGTGAAGTCAGGGGAGAGTGAGGGTCATGATCCTGGTCATTAATATTGCCCCTCCCTTTGGTGATCACCTGATTTGTGAGAGGCCAGGAGGGCGGGCAGCTCAGCTGTGTGGCTTTGGGTAAAACTCTTCCTCTCCAAGCACTAGCTACCCCTTTGCCTAGTGTGAGAGGGGCTGAATTGGTGACCCCACGGCCCTCTAAATACTGCTTCTCTGGCGCTCCCCGCACTTCGGAGCAGAAGTACCAGCAGGTGGATGAGGAGTTTCTGAGGAGCGACCACCCAGCCATCCTTCGGTCCCAAGCCCGCTTGCCTGGGTTCCATGGCCTCCGGTCTCCCCTGGACACCAGCTCTGTCCTCTACACTGCCGTACAGCCCAATGAGGGTGACAATGACTATATCATCCCCCTGCCTGACCCCAAACCTGAGGTTGCTGAGGAGGGCCCACTGGAGGGCTCCCCCAGCCTTGCCAGGTAAGTGCCCTGGCCCAGGGCCCAAATGTGTGGGCAGTGAGCAGAAATGAGATAGAGCGCACCCAATCTTTGAGGCCCTCAAGGGAGAAGGGCAGTCTGGCAAGGATGGGCCAGGTCCTATTCGCAAGGTACTCTTACCTTTGAGGGAGTCCCCAAGGCTGTTTCTCCTGTCCCTCTCTAGGCTCTGTCCTAGCCCCAAGGAGAAGGATGAGACCTGCTTAGCCCACCAGAATATCCCGGTGGTCATTGGAGGGTCATAGCCAGCTTTGGGCCTATGATCCACCCTGAGCACCATGCCTGGACATTCCCAGGAGCCTGACTGTAGAAGGTGGAGATGCCTACAAATTCCAGCCAGAATCCAAACTAGGAAGGAGGATCCTGACTCTCTCTTGTCTTGCTGCATGGTAGAGTCACGGTGGGCAGAGTTTGAAAGGACGTAGCCAGCACGGTGATAGCAGTACACAGCCAGTGCCGGACTTGATGTTCAAATAGGGGCTGAGCAAGGGGCTTCCTCCGAGGCCAGAACCATCGCCCAAGCAAGATCCAGTTCAAGATGAAGTGCAGGAGCCCCAGGCTGGGTTCTAGCTCCAGCTCTGCTGCTGAGACCTGGGCAGGCTTCTTCTCTATGGGCCTCGGTTTCTCCATGGGACGCAGCAGTACACACAGGTCTTAGCAGGCCCTGAAGACTCCTCTCTTTGTGCTGATGTGGATGAGGTGGACACCCCACCGCCACGGGTTCACAGTATAGAGTGGTGGAGCTCGGAGTTCCAGCAGCTTGGGCCTGTTTTGTGCCCTCGGACAAGCCACCTCACCACTCTGAACCTCAGTTTCCTCTTCTGTGAAGTGAAAACAGTAAATCACTTTTATTGGGACTTGTGAGGATTAAGGGAGATAGTGTCTCTCAGAGTGCAGAGGATGAAGACATTGAACTATGGAGCCAGGAACACCTGCTTCAAAGTCCCAGCTCCTACCCTCCCTGCTGTGTGATGTAGGGCAGGGGCGTAGCCTCTCTGAACTGCACTTTCTCGTGGTACAGGCCTTGCATAGTCTTTTTAAAACAGACAAAGCCAAAAAGGATTAAAGACAATACAGAATTTCAATTAAAAAAATAGGAAATTAACACTAGTTGATATAGTGCATATTGCTGTCCTGAAAGTAGTTGCTCAGATGATAAGATTTAGGCATGAAACTAAAGATTAAATGATCGTTACAAGGACTGAATTGCATGGAGACAGAAAGCTCTTGCTTAATGGTGATTGTGTTCTGCTATGGTTCCTCCAAGCTCTCACCTGTCTCTTTCCTCCAGCTCCACCCTGAATGAAGCCAACACTTCCTCTACCATCTCCTGTGACAGCCCCCTGGACCCTCAAGAGGAGCCAGACCCAGAGCCCCCGGCAGAGCCAGAGCCGGAGTTGGAGCAACCTCCGGATTCAGGCTGTCCCAGGCCCCAGGTCGAAGTGGAGGACAGCTTCCTGTAGGGGCTGGTCCCCACCTCAGCCTGAAGCTGCTCTGCAACCCAGTGTCCAGCCCCTCTTGGCCCAGCCCGGGCTTCTGTCACCATGCTGGTGCTGCCAGCTGTCCCCTTGTGGAAGGCTTTTGTTCTGACCTGCTGTGCTCCAAATCCTGGGGCTGGCTCACGAGGCAAAAGACTGTGTGGACCACGTCCAGGCTCTGCTTCTGGGGAGATCCTGTGACTCTAAGCCAGGGTACCCCCACAGGACTCGGTTTCCCCAAATGTAAGATGAGAAGTTGGATTTAGTCACCTGTAATCTGCCTGGAATGTCCCTGAGGGACAATGGGGCTGTCAGACTCCCTGAGGAGGTTCTTGGGTGAATGAGGTGCCACAGTAATAGCTTTCTGCTCAGCCAGCTGCCCCTCAGGAAGCTGCAGCTCTGATCTGCCTAAGAACTGGGGAGGACACCCCACATCCCGGCTCCTGGCGGAGCTGGGCCTGCCTTGGACAGTGCTCCGCTGCCCAGAAGCCACTTCTCTCGATGCCACTCTGCTTTCCCAGGCCCAAGCTGGTTTGGGGCCAACATGCTTAATGAACGCTCTTCATAAGTGCTGGGGGCTGAGCCACATAAGGACAACCTGGCCTGTAGCCCCTGCCCAGAACACATGGGACAAACCTGGCCAGAGGAAGTCCCATGTCTTCCAGGCCGCACTGGTCCTGTGGCTTTCCCCATCACCCCCATCTTAATCTGCCCACGAGCCTGCATCAGTGACAAGTGTGTTGATGCAGTATCTGGCCCTGACTCTGCACTGGACTTTCTGTGACACCGTGATGGAACCCCTCACCCTCTCTGGGCCCTAGTTTTCTTTCGCCTTGTATCGTCAGCAAGTTGGACTCATTAACTTTGAGTGCCATGTCAACACTAATATTCTAGAGGGTTCCAGGGGGTTACACTTGTCCAGATAAAGCGAGGCCAGGTACCCCACAGCCAGCTGGGCTCTGGGGAGATTCCAGATCACACATCACACTCCAGGGATTCAGGAACTGTGCCCCTTCCTCAGCCCCTCTGCAGCTGCCTGGACCTTGACTTGGTTTAGCAGCTGGTGTCCTGGAAAGCCCCCAGCAGCTGCCCAGGGACAAGGGCATCACGAGCCTTTCAGCATCTGCAATGAACTCTTAAGCTATCCTGAACAAGGTCAGGCAGAGAGTCCACATGGGCTCACCGCATGCAGCCCACCACTGCTGTGGAGGTATGTGACACAGAAGCGATGCACGGTGAGGACAGTTATGTCCCGTGAAGGACAAGAAGCTTAAGGTGGACACCTCAGTAAAGGAATATGAGAAATGGGTACTTAGGGGTTCCCTTCTCAATTGCCAGCTGTCCTGTCCCTGAGGGAGGACCCTGTAGAGATATAGTTTTGCCCAGGTCTAGCAGTGACACCTTATTGTCCTCAAATGAGTGGACACTGGAGGTGCCAGGTGAGTGAGGAATGTGGCTGACATGCGCCAGGAGGGGAGGGCTGGAAAGGATGAGAGAAGCTCTGCATTCTGGGCACCAGTGCCCCATGCTGGCTGGCATCTCCCAGCCCGGGGCCCCACCACCTGGCCTGAGATCAGGGAGTGGGTTCACACTACGGTACCAAAGATATAATCACCTAGGTTTACAAGTATTTTTAGGACTCACATTAACTCACATTTATACATCTGAAGTGCTATTTTGTATGCTGTTAAATTTTCCTATCTGTGTACTTTTCTAAGGGAAAGATTTTAATATTAAACCTGTTGTTTTTCACTTGAGACTCTGTGGTTTCTCGGGTTTGGGTCCCTGTACCTGAGGGTGGGGGTGTGGAGTGGAGTGGACAGAGCTTATCCGAGATCCAGGTCCCCAGATAGGTGCTTCAGCACGGTCTCACTTGCTTTACCTGGGGCTGGGTGGGAGGACTGGTCAGTCTCTGTGCTGCCTCTGTGGCCCCTCCTGCCACCTATTCCCCAGCTGAACATGTGCTTTGGCTTTCACCCCTAAGCTGGGTCACCCTCCCTGCCCTCCCCTCCCCTGCCCTGAGCCAGACTGAGGCTGGTGTGGCTTGGAAGAGGCGTCTGCCAGAGCCCAGAGCCCACCTCCAGGTGAGTCATGGTCAGGACCCAGGTAGAAATGGTACCGACAGCACCCAAGGATGCCACAGAACAAGAAGTGAGGAGAGGGCAGTGGAGAGGGAAGAGGAAGAGGGACAGAGGAAGAGGAGGGAGTTGTGGCTTGGGTAAGGCCAGGAGAGGGATGGGGATCCAGGCTGTGGGTCTGAGGGTGGCAAAGCTGCATAGGGGTACAGACCCACCACCCCCAGACTCCCAGGCACTGCTGAAAAGATCAGAGATTGTGGGGCTGACATGAGGTGGGCATTTGGTCCCCACTGGCCAGGTTAGTACTGGTCACAGACTTATCTACTAAACCCAGGCCTGTGGGACCCTGGAGCAGTACTGGATTAGGGTCTGTAGAACTGCTGGGACAGGGGGCGAGTGCAAGGGTCCTGGACCCAGACTGGGGCTTCCCAGCCTTCCAACTGGGTTCTTTTGGAACCTGTACCCTGCTCACTATGGGTGCACCAGCCATCCCTTGCTATTTCTGGGCACAGGGAAAGGGCATCTCTGCTTGGGTTTGGGGGAAGGAAACCTTTTGAGCCGCAGGTCTCCTTGGACTGTCTCCAGGAGTCTGGGCTGAGCTTTAAGCACGGAGAGGAACAGAGCTGTGGGCAGCTCTGACTCAGGGCCAGCCCCAAACTCAGGGGCAGCTGAGCCATGCCAGGAAAAGCCTGTCATCTGAAGGACGTGGCTACCCAAAGCCCACCCTCTTGGGGGTCCTGGCTTTAGAGGACACTCAGAGCCTATGGCTCCCTCTCTAGTCTGCATCAAGAGTTGGGTAAGGTGATAGCAGATTTGCTCTGGAAAGAGAATAAACAAGCCCCATTCCACACAGGATTATCTGCTCCTGGAACAACCTCTGACTGGGTCAGGAGACCCCACTCCCCATCTCAGAGCGCTCCTCGTGCAACCTTGGGTGGGTCACAGGGAAGTCAGTGGGACTAACAAGACCATGGACATAAAGCATGATCGACTCTGGCTGTGACGGAGCCAAACTTTGCCTTGTGGCAGGTCTGGTTGCTGTGCTGTCTCTATTTTCTCTCACACAGATCCTATGAACCTAGCACACGTTACAGATGAAAGGGCAGACTTTGAAGTGGTTTGCCCAGGATCATCTAGCCAATGTCGCAAGGCTGCGGCAGGAGCCAGGCCTGGTGGACTCCCAGGTCAGGGCTCAGGGAGACAGAGGATACAGAGCCAGGGACCTGGGAAGTCTGGGACCCACTCCCCCATTTTTTTCTCTCCAGACCTTTCTGGCGCCATTTGTCCATGAGCGAAAGAACAGAAAAGTGCTTGATACCACAGAGGAACTAAGTAAATCTGAGGACTAGGAGAAATACTTAAAATGGGGAGAGGCGTGCTGCCATGCAGAGGGGGTGCAAGGGTCTGGGGTGACCTAAGAGCCCTGCAGGGCTCTTCCCTTTCGGTCTCTCCACACAGGCAGGGCCCGGAAAATGGTGAGCTGGACTTTTCCATGCAGACAGATGAGCCACTCTGCTATACAGTTCTTCCACTGCTCTGCTCTCAGCCAGGGGTCCTTGTTCCTGGAAAAAGCAGCAAACACTAAGAGGGGCTCTTCCTCTCAGGCCCCAGACCTGCAGTCAAGCAGGGGCCTCCCAGCCGCCGTTAATGCCCCTGCTTTGACTTAGGGCCCCCTCTGAGTGGGTCCCTTTTACTTGAGTTTATGTTCCAGTTTTTACAACAATTAATTAATTTTATGAAACTTTACATAATCTATGCCTTTTATTTTTAAAAGTCATTCCCAGACTCTGCATTTTAGACACCAGCATCCCAGCTACTCTATGTTTAAGAATCTATTTTATGGAAATTCTGCTTCTCACTATCAATAGTTCAGTTAGACTTTTTCTAGGATCTTTGCCTTATAGCCATTCTAATACTTGTATTTTTATTTAAATTATAGTCATTTTTAAAAACTACCATTTCCATTTTGCAACTTTTTGCTTTTCATTGACAGGGCACTATGGATACACTCACAGACATTAACCCATCTGCTGTGAGAGATTCACATCATTTAAAATCATATCTGTACTATCAGTGACGTAGATATCCCTTATTTATGAAACTTTTAGGTTGTTTCTAATCTTTTAGAGTTATATGTTATGCTGAAACTGTACTTATACTTGCACATTTATCTGCTTGTTTGCATGGAGTAGACTTGTAGAGGCATAGTTGGTTGCTGAGTAAAGAGAAAAAACATTTCAAATGCTTCTGGAATCTAAAAGTTCCTGTTAAGATACACGGAATCATAGTGCTTCTGGGAAGAAAACCAAGCACAAACATGATGAGCACACATGATTTAATTCTCGTGAAATGCTCTGACCCTCTGGCGGAGCCTGGAACCTCTCAGGTTTGTTGAAAAAGCCAATAAAAACAGAAAAGAAGAGAGGCCAAGACAGAAGCCCTGCAACGTGTTTCTCCTCGGGACCACTGAAGCCTGGAGCACTCAGCAGCCACAACTTTCCCATCATGCCACTCACTTACTGCTCCCGCAGGCTGGGTTGCGCCAGCTAAGCCATCCACGGGCCTCAGGGGGCAGCCACCTCCACAGTACAGAGTGTGTCACTGTTGTGGGCCCATTCTATCCTCATAGTAAACCTAGAGAGCAGCTGGGGAAGATTAGTCCAGGTGAAGAAACTGAGGCTCAGAGCCAGGGACTGGCTTGCCCGAGGTCACTGCAGTCTGATGTCCCTGTTACTGCCATGTCAGGAGTGTCTATGTCTGGGGCCTTGTCTTGGAGGAGGCGGTGGGCTGAGTCTGAGATCAGGGTGTGGATCCCTGGGTGGGCTCCTCTTTGAGGGAAGAGTTCTGGGGCTGGTCTGGGCCACGAGAGGTCCCCACAGCTCTGAGTAAAATCTGCCATGGCTGTCTCAGGGCCTGGTGAGAGGGTCTCAGGCACAGGCAGGGACCAGGGGACCTCACAGAAGCCAGGCTGTGTCCCTGTGACTTGCCTTCGCACTCCTCTTCGTGACCCACGCACGCTTGTCTGCACTCTACACCCCGACTTCACGGCTGCTCCTTCTCCTTTCGAGCCCAGAGCCAGCTGCCCCCGGCCAGCTGGCCCCTGCCCCTGGCTGGCTTTGCAGTTCCACCATCTCTTTCTGGTTTTAGGTTTTGTGGGTAATCACTAGAAGGAACTAAAAAACTCACAAAAGTGAGGAAGTAGCAAAGTTTGTGGAAAATCACAGAATCCTCATAGACTGGGAATTTCTCCCTCTGAAGGTCCAAGATGGAAATTTCTCATCTATCTGAAGCATAGTGGTGTTCTTGGTTGGGTCTCTTTTGCTCAGTCTTTTAATGACCTCCATGGCCCAGAAAATGCTTCCTACGGTCTTTTAGGTCTCCCAGGCCTGGTTCCAGCCTGTTCCATTGCATCTGCCCTCTAAGGCTGCCCTCTCCCGAAGGGGCCACAAGCCTTCAGACCTGTGCATCTCTGTGGGTGCTGCCCTCACCAGCTAGAATACCTAGCCCTCTCTCACTGAAGGTCAAAGTCGTGCTCCATCTTTTAGCCAGCACAAACCACTTCCTCTGAGAAGCCTTCCTGATTCCTCCACTGGGAATCATTCTCTTCCCAGGCCTCTGTTTGCACCTTCTGTGGGCTTTCGTGTTTACAGCACTCTCTGCCTCCCATGCTAGGCCTTTCCCAGGCTATCTCTTCGCTGGAACATTCCCTGCTCCTCCTTATTACCTCTCCCCAACCATTTCTAAGTTCAGATAGAGCCTCTCCTGGCCCCTACCTCTTCAGTGCCCCCAACAACTTCCCGTAATTTCCCCAACTGGCTGTGAGCTTCAGCAGGAAAGGAACAAGTCTGTCCTGTTCACCACTGGGTCCCAAGGTCAGGGCACAGAGTAATTTCTTGATAAATATTGTTGAATGCACTTCATCTATACTGTTATGTCACTGGATCCAAGTCACAAAACTCATTTGCAGAGGGAGGAGTAAGAATGAGGTGGTGCCTGGCTGTGGTCACTAGGCTAGAAGCAGGGACTTCGATGCCTGGTCTGTCCAGCCCTGAGTCTCAGGCTGTTTCCCCACCACCCCAGCCTTCCTGGGAGCCCCCGCCATTGATGAAGATCCGCAGCAGAACACGTGGAGTCCGAAGCTCAGTTTCTTCATTCGGAACTCACCTCTGCCATTCGTTAGCTGTGTTAAGGGAGCAGTCACCTACCACTTCTGACTTGTCTTTTTCCATCTGTAAATGGGGTAGCCATAGCACAAGGGTCAAAGAGATGATTTGTGTAAATGCTCAGTCCAGAGACTGGCACAAGGAGTATGTCCGTTGAACAAGGTGACCAGGATCGTCCCTCTACACGTCCCTGCAGTACTGCAATTATTAACATCACACCTTTCAGTCTCAAAGGCCTCCATCTGAATAAGTCACAGCAGTGTCCCTAGACTACCCGCTGTGGTGTAGTACAGCCACCCAGCCACCTGCCTTGCCTCTCACGGGGATGGTTAGGGTCCTGACCATAGGGGAAAACCCGAATCCTGGCCTTCCTGTTCCCACAATGGATCCAACACCTGAAACACTCACCAAATGACTTGTGCCTGAGAGACATGGAGATCAGGACCAGGACCTCGGCATGAGCAGAAGTCAACATGACCCATACATTCATATGAGCCTTTCCCAATTTGGG